GCCTCCACAAGAGAAGGCTGAGGGGGGATCTAGTGGCCTGTTACAAACTAGTCAGAGGGGACCAGCAGGCACTGGGGGAGTCCCTGTTCCCCCAAGTGCTACCAGGAGTGACTAGAAATAATGGTCACAAGCTGGCAGAGGGTAAATTCAGATTAGACATCAGGAGGCGCTACTTCACTGTCAGGGCGGCTAGGATCTGGAACCAACTTCCAAGTGAAGGGGTGCTGGCTCCTACCCTGGGGGTCTTTAAGACAAGGCTAGACAATCACCTTGCTGGGGTCGTTTGACCCCAGTACTCTTTCCTGCCATGGCAGGGGGTTAGACTTGATGATCTGCTCAGGTCCCTTCCGACCCTACTAACTATGAAACTTCAATATACCATTTTACATAACTTGAAATCTGTTCCCTGGTACTCACCTCTGCTATACCTCCCCTGAGATGAGAAAGTAGGATTTTTCTACTTCCATGCCATTACTAACCTCAGGATTCTTTTGTATGGTAATTAAAGTAAAAGAATCTTTTTTTTCTCTAGGGTGCACTTTTGAAGGAAATGCCTACAACAGCTCTATGGAATGGCAAGTTCCAGCCAGGCCATGTGTCACATACCAATGTCAGGTAAAGACTGAAAGTCATGAACTTCATCACCTGGCTGAGCAATGGGTGGTGTGCTAGCCTGACCACAGGGATTATCTTTGTTTTTTCGGCATCAGCTAGATTTTTACCAAAATATGAGTTATGATGTTAATATTTCTCTTTCAGATGCCTGACTATTTCTTATTTGGCATTTTGATTAAAAAGATGCTAACAGAAACCAAACAAGGAAGCAACCCCCCACAACCAAAAACACATATGTCCTCCCATGCTCCTGTTTCATTAATGCAGTAGATTGCATTATTGGTAGGCTTGCAGCCATAATAATTGTGTAGTTCCATGTATCTAGTTCAGGCACAGAAACTGCATGTGTGTATATAAGCCATGGAACTGTGCCTGCAGTTTGACATTAGTGTGTGCAATCTTTTTATTCATCCTTCCAAATTGATTTGCTCATAATTTTTGTGGGTAAACTACAATGGCCTCCTGAAAAGTTGACTGTTTTAAGAACAGTTCTTTCTTTTGATCTAATGCTGATGTCACTCCAACTATTAGAAACAGGAATAAATGACCATTTAAAACACTCTCTTTAAATCTTCAAAAGGACCATCATATGTATCATTTAATATCAGCTATTCAGACACTTATTTCTAAACTCTCCCTGCTACATTAATATTGTGGGCAACTAAAATTAGCTGTGTTCACAAAACAACTTTATAAAGGTGTATTCTTATCCACTTTAAAATATGGGTACCTTTATCATGTTATGTTCTACAGTTAATTTTGAGCAACAGTCTCCTAAGTCCATGATATTTCTTTGACATGATACTCAAATCTTGCATTTGCACTCAGTGGTGAAATGAACATTACCTTATCTGTCATTCTAAGTTTCCAAATGCAGAACTAGGTAAGCTTATTTCCCCTGAGTGCTAGGACTGCAAAACTAGGCTTCCTGTATTTACAAAATCAAAGGTTCATACAGTAAAAAAACAAACAAACCACTTTTGCATACAGATTCTTACCCTCAGATTCATCAGGATTTCTTGAAGAAGAAATGCAGGAACGGATAATTTACTAGTACTTATCAGGAGAAGCATCAAAGATAAGAGGCTCCATCTAGAGAATGAGAGGCCTTTATCTCCTTTCTAAGCTTTTTTCCTCCAAGGGGAGAGGGAAGGGAATGCTTTGTGTCTGGTCTGCTGCCATCAAAGCTTCATAGCAGATTACTTCCAAGTTTCCATGGACTGGGGATTCCTGATAAAGCAGGATTCCTTTTCCTAAGAAGGTGCTTGGTTTCTTACCTGATGCATTATAGGGTAAATCTCACATCTGGAGTCAGGAAGGCTCAAGCACTGTTTTGACTGGGGAATAATCTGAATCTTGATACTGTGTTGCAGATACAGGAAGAAAAGGGGCTTTGAAACCTTCTGCTACACTGTGGGTGTGTCTACACGTGCCCCTACAGCACAGTTGTTCCTGGCTGTCATTTAGTTTTCCTTTTGGAAGTACTAAATGATGGTGCAGCGACAACCCCGTACTGTGCTGTGCACATGGCACATGGTGATTTTTAGCTGCTATGTTGCTGTAGCAAAGTGCTATACTGAGGGAGCATGTCACTACAGCAATGTAGCTGCCGTGTCAGTTTTTGCCCACATGTTGCTGTAGTGTGTTGCTAAGGCAACATAGCATCACATGTAGAAGCACCCAGAATATAGCATGTCATAGTTGTAATTCCTGGTTACTGTGGCTTTTGCTTCTTATGATCATGAATACCATCATCATAATATGGTTGGTTTGGTATTTTTCAGGAAGGAGTGATAACAGAATCTGAGATCCAGTGTGTGGTTCATTGCAAAAACCCTTCTAAACAGATGGGGATATGTTGTCCCACATGTTCAGGTAAGATTTAATAAAAATGCTGATATTCCTTCTCCCATGAGCATTTTTGCTGCTCAGTCACGGTGCCAGTCCCTGCCTAGTTTTCTGTCCCATCTATTCCCATCTCCTACCCAGCACTGTGGTTTTGGCTAATTTTCACCCCATGTCTTAAATGTGAATCTTGCTGTGTTATTTCAGGGGAATGACATGGGGAGCAGCTCAAACCATGCTGGGGACAGAGAGAAGGTTGCCCTCTTGTGCTCTCTGTCTTCCCCTTCCATTAGCTTCCCTCCATTTACTAAACATGCATGGCAAATTGTATGGACGTGGACACAGTTAACTCTTGGGATGTGATGGATTTGAATGCATAGGAGAGAACACCCCATTAGGGAGAGAGAAGCAACTGGCTAAGTGTTGGGCTGGTAAGATTATGGGCACTGGGCTTGTCCCATAGGAAGCCTGTTTTGAAAACACCATTTACAAGTGATCAGAAAACCCTCCTTGTCAGCCTATCAGGGATCCTCAGAGGTTCTGTCCAGGTATCTTGGTGCTGCCAGTTTCAGTCACAGCCCAGAATTATGGGAAAAAAACCCCAACAAAGAAACACATCCAGACTTGGAGGTTTGCAGTCAGAGCTGAGGGTGATGTATATTCTTCCTCCAGCCCTATGTGAAGTTCTGCTCAGTTGCCTTGAGGCATCTCACTAAGCATTTGGTCTCATCCTACTAATCAGTCAGGTGAGCAAAGCTGATGCATGGAGCTGCCTTTCAAGGCCTGGATGGGGGTTAAATGTTATGTGTGAAAGCACAGGCCCCACTGTCAGCTCTCATGCCACCAAATCAGGAGAGAGAGGAACCTAATGAATAGGCTTCATTCTTTTTGCTGTGGAGCTGAAGATTCCCTGGGCTGCGAAGCACTTATATTAGATTGAATTCAACAGCCTTTTGGCTTTAAC